CCGGTGCCAGGAGGTTTCCGACCAGACACTTGGCACGGCCCAAGAGCTGCGCTGGGGACGACTCAGGCTGGTTCTGCTGATTTCACCTCTGTCTCTGTTTTGCCGTAGGCATGATGATTTTGACTTCATCTCGGGAACACGCATGAGGAAGCTTGCTCGCGAAGGTGAAAACCCACCAGACGGCTTCATGGCCCCCAAAGCTTGGAAAGTCCTAACCGAGTACTACCAGTCACTGGAAAAAAAGAATTAACACTACTCCTCCTCCCTAGAAATACTTGTATTAAGAGTGAGCAATGATTGATTGATTCCCTATGACACAGATCAGTTACTTGGCATTTCCAGTGCTCTGACTGTAGGATTTTCCTGCCTGGGTCAGAGTGTTTTTTACTAATCAGAAATACTTTGACCTGGTCCTTCTCCCCTTGAAGCTGCTGGGAGTGTTCCCGTGGAGCTGGAAGGGGAGGGCAGCAGGCCCTTCGTCCCCAGCTGAGCGCAGCTGCAGGAAGCCCAGCACGGCCTCTGTATGGGCTATCCGGATCGTTTTGGTGCTGCCAGAGCTGCACACTGGCCCCTGGTGCAGAGCTGGGACCTCGGCACTGGGTTAAAAACGTGTCTGTCCCCTGTGTGGAGCAGAAATGAAGAAGCCTTTCCGCTACCCCTTGCCCAGCACTGCTTGAAGAGGCAGGAGCAGCTGCTGAAGCGAGGAGTGGTTGCTGCTGCCAGGGTGGGAGAGGGAAACAGGCACTCGATTCTCGGATCCAGTTGCTGCCCTCCAGGTTGTGCCTTAGATAATTTTTGCTAACAAACAGCGGGATTTTTTTAATGCCCTTTTTTTTAAAAGGATTTTTTAAAATCAGCTTTGACCATCACCAGTTCCTTGTGGCTGAGTTAATTGCTCACTGTTCTTCCTTGCTTCCTCCTGCTTGATCTCTCTGGTCAAAACAAAACCTGGGCTGAGTGTTACTCGTACTCTGAGTTTGACTTTCTGTGGGGACTCTACCGTGGTGATCCCTGTGCTCACAGCCTGGTGGGCCCACGGGCAGGGGAAGCTGTCCTGGGAGGCACCATAAAGCCCGGGAGGTCTCTGAGAAAGCTCAGGGCAGCAAGCAAAAACTGAAGATGCTGTTTACGTGCTTTTGTGGGTATTCTCCCACCTGGCATGATCCCCCTTTCCTCTGCCCGCGTTCCTCCCATCCGAAAGTCAAATTAAAGGCAAAACGGCAAAATCACAGTGTGAGGTGGGTCTGAGCGGCTGTACCCGGTAAACCAGGTGAGAGATGGCTCAAGCGCTTGCCCTCAGGCTGTACCCCGTGTGGGTACAGGTGACCCGATTTTAGTTTTTATCTGCGGGATGGTGAAGCTGGCTCAGGCTGGGGGACGGCCAGAAGATGGCGGAAAAGTCCTTGGGCCGCCCCCAGCCACATGGGGTGCTGCTGTGCGAGGGGTGATGGTGCCAAGCTGAGAGCTGGTGGCTGGTGGAAAGTTACTGCAGCCCTTATCTTCTCCTCCACGCCTCCCCAGCCCCTGACATGGACTTTGCCGTCGTGCGTGAAGCTTTTCCGCTGACTTGCAGCTCTTGCGGTGACCTCCAATGGGGCTGAGCAGCGCGACTCAACACCGAAGCTTTACCTGGCTGTGTCTGCGTCTCACCCCGAGTACGTCGCGCTGGGACTGGTGCGTGTCTCAGTGGTGGTTGAGGTTTGAGCGCAATGCACTGCACAGCTGGGAGCCCCTCAGCCGCCGGCCTGTGCCTTGTCGTCCTGCCTGCGGTCAGCGGAGGCTTTCCCAGGGAAAGGGCTGATCCTGCGGCCCTGCTGTGCCAGCAGCGAGGTGTACGCTGCCTCCCTGGCCATCGTGCTCAGGTGTTTTTAGCGGGGGGGAGGGAGGAAATACAGCTATGCACTTGTTAGTTATTGCAACAACCTGAATTGATGATTTTTGTACTCGTCCTTTTTTTAGTAGATGCCCCAGGACCAGTCAGAATGTGTTTCAAATGAAATGGAAATGGCATTCTCCTCCTCTTACACTTCAGTTTTAATTACAAATGGATCTACGCTCAGTAAAAACAATTACGCTTCTGCTTGTAACTTAGGATAGTGAGCTACATTGCAAGCTAAAACCTGTTTTGCTATGGCCATGGTACAGGGTCCAAGGCTTACGTATGCAATTGGGAATATTTTTGCTAAAAAGTGTTTTTCATTTGTCAACTGTTTTGGGGTGTTTTTTTTGTAATTTTTTTTTTTTTAAGTATTCCAAACAAAGAGCCCAAAGCTGTATTATACCTCAAGAAAAATGCTGCAACACCCATGTTAGCAGCTGAAAGCACACTAGCACCAGTGCCTTTTACACTCAGGCCCTCTGGCAGGGACCTGGAAGACAAAAGCAATGCTCCCATTTATGCTTGTGATATTTGTCATTTTTAAGTAGTGAAATAGTGCTGTTGCTGCTCATCATAAAATAATCAAAACGGTTAAAAAAAACCCCTGCAGTAAATCCAAATGGTTACAGCGAAACACAAATGTTGTATTATCCTTTTAAAATAGTGTAGTGTACTGATTACCTCTGATTAAAAGAGTATGTGGACTAGTTTGGGGTTTTTTATCCTATATTTATTAAAGACATGAGACTGGAATTTGTACCTCAACTGATACATCTCATGATTTAATATATTCTGAACTTGATACTCTGCTACAAAACACTCACTTTTAGTACAAATAAATATTTATATGTGTAACTAATTCTCACTTTGTAATTTTTTTTTGGAAAATTACAACCATGTGGTTCATCTGGGGCTGTGACAGGTCTGTAGCAGTAGGAGCCCTACCCCGTTCCAGCCTTGCGTGCTCAGTGCCTTGGGTAGGGCGATGGCTGGACCAGCCAGCAGCAAGGCTGACCATGGAGCCTGTTTTCTTCTTGGAAATCTCAACTCATTTACCTTTTTGCTGTCTGGGCTGTGCAGTGTTGACCAAGTCACATTTAACAAGCATAGTAACTGCACTGTCTTCTGCTGCCCTGCATTTCTGTGCTGTTTAACCAGCACTTAAGCACCTTCTAGCTGCTAAAACCCTGCAGAAATAGGGGATGATGCTGCATCACTTGGTCTCTTCCCAATGGACCTGCTGTAAACAGGCTGTGGGTCTTGGGGAGCGCCACAGCCCGCGGTTCCCAGCTTGGGGAGAGACAAAGGGAGAGCTTGCCAGCCCTGCCAGCTTCTGTTTGATGGAGATAGAGGCCCTTTGCTGCTGGCCTGCGTCTGCCCTGGCGCAGGGCTGGACGCTGGCTGCAGGAGTGTGGGCTGTTCCCCCAGCTCGCACTGCTGGGGCTCCCAGCACCCCACTCACCCAGAGCCATCCCTCGCAGCACCCCGAGGTTCCCAAGCACCAGCCAGGGAGAAGATGCCCATGCCCAAGCCAGGCTCAAAAAAAAAGCAAGCTGTATTTACAGAAGTCAAACATGGACACACTGGTGACAGTTACAGAAAACAGATTAACAAAAACGCAGAGCAAACACACACATTTATTTACCTGTTACGTAAGACTACGCCAAAGGTTTCTGTTTGCGCTGCAGTATCAGACTGGCAGGATTAGCTGCCTTACAGCCTGTGGACAATTTAAGTACAGTCTGTACCGTGCACACTGTCTACCGGTGACTGCTATGGCTGAACGGGTCCTAAAAAAATTATTTGCCTGCTACGAATGTCTATGCCTCCTCCTGCCAGAGGATTTGACCTTTAAACCCCAAGAAAGACCCGTTTCTCACACAGAATTTTGTGTTACAACTCAGAGCTCGATACCAGAGACTGCATCAGCCTCAGGCCACGCCTGTGAAACTACGCTTGGTTTGAGCAACTGGCCCTACAGCTGCAGGAGAGGACTTAGGCTTGCCCCTCGCTGTAAGGAGAGGCAGGATCAAATGGTGAGAAGCACGGACCAAACTGCTGGAGACGTGGAATTAAAGCGGCCACGTTCCTGCGTGATAAACCGTGTCCTTCCCTAGCAAACTGCCAGGAGGGTCTGTGCTTTGACAAGGACTCCCAAAGGGACAGCAAGAAGGGGCAAGTACAGAGAAGTCCTTGGAAAAGTGGAAATTACACTCCAGCTGCAGAAGGGGCAATTACAAATAACCCCTTGCAGCTCTTCAAATCAGTCCCTTAAGCCTGCAGTGATGCATTGTAGGCACAAGGTAAAGGCAAGATCCAGCCAGCACGCAAACAGACAGACAGGTTTTTGGAGAAACACGCAAGAAAGGAGATCAGAGCTCAGCTGGTGTCTAGAGGATGCCCCCAGCGTTCCTATTCCCGTGTGCTCAGTTTGACATTTAAACTCGCTTGAGGACACACTTTACACTCACTCTATTAAAGCCAATTAAGACAGTATTCTTCAGCTGCCTGCACTAGATCTTTACCAAGCAGGAAGCACCCTGAAAAACGGAAGGAGACGCAGTACGAGCTTTGTTATCGCACTAGCCTGGCATTTCTCAGGTGTAAGAACTACTGAGAGGGGCTGGGAGAACTTCGGAGTCAGAACAGGCACTGAGAACAACCTGAACAGCTGGAGAACTGCATCTGGCACACGCATAATTTAAATCTCCTGAGAAACCAGCTTCCAGTAAGTAGCACTATTTGCATGTTTAATTTTAAGGCTCTCCCAGAGCTAGCACTGACTTGCATCACTGCTTTCTGCCCTGTCACCAACGTGACTTTGTGGGATTAGCATTCCATATCCCAGACTTTTTAGATTTCCGTAGCCCAGTATTTTCTGGTGTGCCTAATTTCCTACATCCTTGTGTTAGAGCAAGATGCATTTACCATAGACTTTTTTCCCCACATCGAACAGCAAAATAATTATTATTAAAAAAACGCCCATGTTTGGTACCCAAGGAGATTAAATTGGGTCAAACTAAGACCTACTGCACCTGGTGCATTACACAACCAGTGTGCCAGACAAAAGGACACCAGTGAGAAAGCTGTGCTTAATGGAAATTGTCATCGGCACCTGATACTGTACAATGGCTGGCTCCAGCTGTCTTTATTTTATTTTGCAGTGCATTTCATTTTACATGGTTATCTTGCTTTCAATGCTTACCTTCCCTCGGTAGCTAGCAGAGCTGTGACACAGCGTACCACCCCGGGGGTTTGAACAATTCCGATTACATTACTGCACAATGCATAATATTATAAGAAGAAAAAATCAAGTTATTGAAAACCTACTTGACAATAACTTTACCAAAACACTTTTGCCACTTACATTTTTAACCCTTTGCCTTTATCACTACGTAACGTTACATGGATTTACTAAAACTGTTACCAGCAAGTACAGCAGAACATTGCTAAATCACATTTATAAACCTAAAACCCATCCTTTTCTCTTCAATTTTGCAGATCAGAGCATGTGACAGAGCAAAATGTCACAAAACATCCCTCCACGCCTCAGAGCTATGCATATGTACTTCATGGTACAACGCCACAGTGCAGCAGTGGGTCTTCCAGAGGAGATTAAAATAGCAGCAAGCCCTCGTTACAATGCATAATAGATCACAATTTCAGAGAGCTTATAATATGTGGGGCTTTATGAAAGACCAGTTAAGATTCTACTCTAATTACTCACATCAAGGGAAAAATAAAAATAAAAGCAGCATTCATTTAAAAAGCCTCAAAAAGCAGAATTCATAAAAAATGAAAAGTATTCAAACATTTTTACAGTAGTTTACTACCTTTACTAAATGGCACCAGATTTCAAGTGGTCATGTGAAAGAGAAATCAGTAACATTTCAAATTTTGCCTGAAAGTTATTCTAGAAGCAGAATTTGTCTCTTCATATTTGCTGCTAAAAGGAAGAAGTAAATGTGAATTGAGTATCGATGAATCTTTAATCTATACATCTTCTGATTTGGTTTGATTCAGTAAGTAGAAAAGATTTTCCATACTCAAGTTATCTACAGATTATGTCTATACATAAAAAAATGTGTGGATATATACATTTAATACATACACACACGCTCGTACTTATATACACAAACTGGTAATGGATCGTCTCCCCTCCACAGCAGTGACCCGCTGAACCCATGCACGACGTCAGAACCTGCTTTAAGGCTACACAGTGTATCAATTATGGGACGAGACACAGGCAGTTGCTCTTGGTCTGGGCTATAATTGTTCCACTTCATGATCTATTGTTACACTTCTAGTTGCGCATGACGGAATTTCAATAACTTAGAATTTGTTGTATAAAAACAATTTCAGAAACAGAACTCCCTTATTCAAGGAACATCCCCGCTCCCACCCCCTGACATTGTTTTTGCTAACTGATTACAGAAGTCAAACTAAATCACATCAGAAACTGCAAATACACTCTTTTGTCTTAATCTAAACTAGCGTGCATCAAAACATTCTGCAGTGTGGCATCCTTCGATTTTCTCATCTTCTCAATTGCCCTGTGGAGATCCTGCTGCTGCACAGGCCGAATTTCATCTTCATCATGGCTTTAAAAGAAAGACAGAAAGAAAAAAAGCAAGATAAGGATTCAGGTGTTGTGTAACAGCTGTCCAAACAATGAGAAGTAATCATTGAAAATAGCAGTTCTGACATGGATCCAGCATTACACTGGAAACATGCCCCTGTCCATGCACGTATTACCTGCAAGTATGGGAGATAATTGGAGGAACATCACAGCAAGCGGAGTTACGTGCGTGTAAGAGTGTTACCAGCATTTAAGCCTGGTAATATAGTGCAGTAATATCACACTCTTGTTGGTTCATGCCACCTCAAGCTTGACACCTTGGAACAAATAGTCTTATTTTCACAGTCAAAATGAATAAAGGTAACTTACTTGTTGGGTTTTTTGTTGTATAGTGGCAATTTGTCAAGAAAGAGAACTTCCTGCTTTCTGTGAATCACAGCAAGGTTTTTTAAACCTCTATAAATTTGCAATTCAAATCAGAAAGTACAAACTAATAATTGGACAGTGTGTAGCACCAGGAGCATTCACAATTGCTGTTCAGCTATCATAACAGGCAGAATAAAGACACATACTTCTCTTCTTCACAGGCAGAATTAACATATTCCCTGACACAGAGGAGTGCTGCATCCCGGCACATTTCCTTCAGATCACTGCCTGAGAAGCCATCAGTCTCTTTAGCAACTTCTAGGAGATCCACATGCCTGTCCACCTGTCAAAAACCAAAAGATCAGAGCATAAAAACTCTCAAGTAATTCACTTTGTTCACCAAGGACAAGAAACAGTTACCTCCGAGTATTTTTACCTGCCCTAAGAAGATCTTTTTCAGTCTTGACTTTTTTTGACAGCTAAAAGCAAATTATTTTATGAACTTACAGTTTGAACCCTCCAAGTAGTTCATTTCATTAAATGAAACTGATGCTTCATCTCATAAAATTCTGGAGCTGATTAAAAAAAAAAAAAAAAGAACAGGCAACCGAAAGTGAACCATCATATTGGTGTATTGTTACTGACACAGCTCCTGTGTGGTTTTGGAAGGCTACTGGATGGCAAAAACCGGATCACAGAAATAATGACCCATTTTCCCAAATGCCCACACAAGTTCCCTGCAATGGCACCGCTTATTTTGGTAAAAGGCTCGATCAGACCCTACGTGCATCTTTTTATCTGTAGACAATGAACACTACCCAACAGGTCTCCTTTCACAGCCACAGCCCTTTTTTAAAATACATTATTTGAAAGAGTCATTTTTGTTTTCATAAACACTTCTTTTGACCAGTAACACAGCAAGACTGGAAAAAGTTCCTGTCACATTTATGTTTTGTTGTTGCCACCTTTCAGTGCAGAATAAGAACTTCAAAAGCAGTTGTTCACTATCTCAGCAACTCAATTGTTTGTTGAGTTACTGAACAACAGCTCCTACTTTATACAGTCATGAAACAGGGAACTCTGAGGCAAAATAATGTGTCTAACTCCATGCACTGGATCAGAGGCTGAACTCATTCCAGGCAGGATGCCATATTTATTCAGTTGGTTTACAGAACCTCTGGTAACAGCCCCTTCTGGCACATTTTCCAATGCATCAGTATTTTATTTTCAAAAAAGTTAAAGCCAAACTAGTCTAATAAAAGGCTGAACTTAAGGGGTGACTTCTTCTAAGAGGGAAACTTCCATGGTGATGAAGACAAAGCCTCAGGTGTAATCTTTGCTGTTTCCAGCTACCCCTTCAAACCATGCGCTCCCCAGGATAACCCAAGAACGCACCAACATCCACTGAGCACCCTTCCAATTTCCCACCGACCCTCCCGCTTTTCTTGAAGGACAAGGGTTACAGTGCTACGGTGCTGTTGGCTCAGATCTTGAGCTCGTACTTGAGCCCCAGCTCCCTGACCTACAACTCAGCACGCAGCGCTCTGGTTTGGGTCTGGAGTGAGCCATCTGGCTCCCCAGGCATGAAAATTAAGGCAAAAGTGGCAGCTGGCTTACACCAAAGTGCCTCCTACAGACACTACAGCCTGGTTGTCTTGAAGTGCTTTGCTTTAAAGCATGATCCTGCACACAAATACCGAAGCCAGTAACAGTCAGCTGTGGATATGCAATGTATTTGCTCAATGTGGGGCTGAAGGCCATCAAGATTTGAACAGAGAAGCACAGCTGGCTCAGAATAAATAGAAAATGGGCATGTTGTGTACCAGGCGTTAACAAGGATTTCCCTTGGAGCGAGAAAGAAGAAACAAGATTTTAAGACAGGCAGGGAAAACTGAGGGCATGACTACACCTGTCATGTGAAGGACTGCCACGAAGTTTGTCACCCTGACTGAAAATAAGCTGCGCTTGAGAGATCCAATTCTTCCTCCTAAGGAATAACCAATACAGGCTGATTTCCACCATCAGCACCCCCTTCCAAAAAATGTTATTTGTGTGGCTGTGATTCACTGCCAAATGCTTGATATGCTTTGCATTCTTTCAGGTCCATATTCAGGAGCTGATTTAGGTTTTTGCTGAAGGCCTTAAGGCCAAGGTGCTGCAACTCCCAGGCCCAGCTGCCAAGGCAAAGGAGCCACAGAGTCCACTTGCGTGCAGGAGCTGGGTGGCTGCAGATATTCAGGGAGTCTGTATAAAGGTCTATTATTTGGCATACCTCCCTAACAGCTCTTGAAGAGAAATTTGAGTCTGAAATCACCACTTGCAAGAGACGTTTTAGTTTGTTTGAGATTTTCTGCAAATAGGTCAGCTCTTCCTCCACAACTCCTTTGGCATTTCGTAGCAGTTCCGTTTTCACATCCATGTCTAGCATTTTGTGAAAAGGCCAACCTGTATTATAATCCTGTACAAACACTCCAAAATGACCATTTGCAAAGCAACCTCCCCAATATCTCAGCCATTCGCAATGATGAGCTGTGATTTTCAGGCCTCTTAAAAAATGTAAGTTGGTTTTACTAAGGAATGATATTTATTAGGATAGACCTCAACCAAGAGACACTTTGCAACGTTAACTTCCAAGACAATTAGTGCTGCAGACTAAATTTGGCAGGAACCTCCGATAACATAGGTCCCATATCCTGCCAACAGACACTACCAGATGTGCTCACACCTACCCCTTCTCCTTATCTTGGAACGCAGACGGTGACACGAACACCATGCAATATTAGTAACAACACCTATAGTAGTTTTCCTCTAAAGGAAATATGAACTATGGATCAAAGTGCAAAAAGCAGCACTGTCAAAAAATGTCATTCCTCCTTTCTTGACTTGAGCCAATAGACTGTACAGAGTTAAAAAAAATTCAGTATCTCTTCTCCCTGCTTCATGATGTCTTGAAATTTCTTTCACCGATCAAAGTGATTTCCAAACATGATTCACCTTCAGCATCTTTAGAAAGATAAACATATTATCTTGTTATATAACAAGAAAATGGAGACAGAGAAATTAAGTACTTTTCCTCAGAGACGGTGATTCATCACAAAATCCAAGACTGCTGCTCTGACTGCAGCTCATGCTTAAACCAGTAGGCAACTACTGCTTTAATTTAACGCCACGCCTAAAACCACAAAAGATTCCTAAGTTATAATCAGAAATACCCTGGTAGATAATCTCTACTTTACTCCAAGACAGCCGATTGTAACACGTTTTCTACAACTTCAGAGCTTGCACCCATGAAAACAGTAATACAGCAAATTAACCATTAAAAAAAGTCTACCATTAAAAAAAGTCTACTTACATTTTCATTTTTCAAAATCAGCTTCAAGATTGCTTCTCTTTGTTTCAGAGCCTTAAACAAAAGAGATTAAAGTTACTAGAGTACAAAAATAGACATATATAACATCTATCTCAATTTTGGATGGCGTGGGCATTCAGTCACAATTCAGTGACACAAGCTGATCCCTCAAACGGGAGATGTGATACACACTAAGGAAACCTATCAGATGGCAAATCACTCAGCAGAATGAGATCTAGGGTACTCTGACTCCAGGAGCACATGAAACTAAACATTTGAGCATATACATTTACATTAACTACAGGAAAAGGGAAAATGCACTGACATTTAGTCTTACTTTGCCCTAAGTGAAAGCAGCTGTCTCCAAAGATTTCCCATCATCTTTAACGGAAAGCAGCCTCTCTAGATCTAGGGGATGCTTTCAATACTTTGCTAAACCAGATGAAGAGGATAAACTGTTCTGCTTAAAAAAAAAAACAATAAATTTAATTCTGCGGATGATGCTTGGGAAATTTTAAGCAATATAAATCACATACTGTGATGGGGTTACTGAAAGAAACAGTTGAAGTCCTGAGCATATCCTTAATAGCAAGGTAAAACACAGGCAGCAAAGAGATTCTTTTTTGTGTCTCCCAAAACCAAACGTCCTAAATTCACCTTCATTGTTAAAAAGGGAAAAAACTACCCCATAGATACTCTGGCAGATGAACAGTTGATACTCTGTCTCAAAAAATACTTCTTCCATTTCCCTCTGCCTTGCAGATAACTTCTTATGAGTAATTTTGGGCATTTTAATCTCAAACTTAGTTATAAAATCTGCAAGGCTTTAGCTACTCTACAGTGATACTACCCGTGCACACTTCCAATCCACAGCACATAAATTATCTTGGCCCTCAATAAAAGAGTTGTAACCAATCTTGGTTGTACCGCAAAGTACCACAGACAAGAACAAGAGACAAGTGGTAAGTTAATGAGATGGCTGTAGCGGGGTAAGGGAAGTTATGTGCCTGTGCCCTAAATGACACCTTCTGCTGTAATTCTGATCCTGGGAGAGGGAGCCAACCCCTGTAATATCCTGAGGCACTGTTACCTGCAGATAATACACCCTTCTAATGATGGTTCTTGATAGAAAGACACGATAAAGTAGTAAAATACACATCCTCGCCCCTTACTAATTAAAGGAAAACATGAAGATGAGTAAGGTGTATGAAACCCTATGAGCAGGCATTGCAGAAAAGCAGTTACTAGGTTATAAATGCTTTGTTTTGAAAAGTATCCGCCCACAAGGAGTGAAAGCCAGTTCAAACAAGATGGGTCTGGGAACATGACTACTCTCTTGCACAATCAGTAAGAGTTTTACTCCTCCAGTTTTGTCTCTAAGTTTCTGCAAAAAATGAATAATGAAGGGTATTTCTGTAGCCAGAAGGGAATACTGACAACCACAACTGAACTCCTTATAATATTGATACAAAAAAGTCTTGTGATATTGCTAAGTGTTCGAAGGTGACTAAAATACCTTGAAAAGGATGGCAATAGCAAAATTTATAGTAAGGGTAACCTTGTGATGGCTGGCATAATTGATAAAGACCTTAATTACTGCCTGTTTGGCATAAATCGTAAGTGGAATAAAAGTGTTTTCCATATTGGTTGCAGTGCCTGACTGTGGAAATGTCTTTTTGTGATTGTTTTCAAGTTAAAACTAAGCTCTTTCCAGAGTGCAGCGTCTAAGCCACTCCATTCTTATAGGTGAAGAAAATGGGTGGGAAGCTCAGAGCACATGGAGTTGTTTCAGATAAAAGATCCAAGGAATCAAGATTTCTGTGAGAAATTTCACCTTAAAAAGCAAAGTTATATATGTGCTTCTAAAAAACTAAAACCAGATCAAAATAATACAGTATTGCTTTGAAAAAAAAAACCAACAAAACCCACCAAACAACAAACCCAGACACGTGCGTTTCCTGGCTGATAAGGCACCTGCCTGTAGCTCAGCCACTAGGCACGCTGTTCAGGCAAACCTGGCATGACTTACAGGTTGGTTGATGTGAAACCGGGTCGGCATTCTTCTCATGATTGCAGAGTCAAGATCCTGAGGACGGTTGGTGGCTCCCATCACTATTACCTGTATACACCAACAGAAAAAACTAGTCAGCCTGAAACCAGCTTTTGAAAACATCGCCGTATTGGAGTTTCAAAACCAAACATGTGACTCTTCCACACTTTATCAAGAACATCGATATTTAAAGAAGTTACATAAGGTTTCTTGGTACTGATTTCAGCAACTGGATTTAAACAGGCAGCTTAACAGAGCATTGGTACCACAGAGTACCATCTGGGTGGAGATTTTTACATTAGTCTGAAGCCTTCTGAGCCCAATTTGAAAGTTAAAACTCTAAGCAGTAACCCAAAACTTCTGCTTATAAACCTTGGCAATGTCTCTTTAGTTCCTGGCGGTCTGGAAGGAACTTGAAAGGAGACATTTTGATAAGGAATTAAAAAATGTGGCATTTTTGTGCTGTGTTGAAAAAAGAAAGGCAATCAATTCACCAGGATGACCAAACTGGCAGCTTTCGCATGCACTAAAGTGTTGTTTCTTTTTTTAAAACATTAAAAAAAGCATTAAAAGTCAGTAAGAACCCATAGGCACTGGTATACTGTAACAGCAGCACATTAGATGTGTACAAGCCAAGTTCAATACGAGGAGAGTATTTACCTCATTTGACTGCATTCCAGTTATTAGTTTAAGAACAAATTTACTTCCCATTCACATCATTTCTCATTTGTTATTGTAAGTTATGTACATTGTAAATACTCAGTGAAAAATGTCAGGGAAATTAATCTATCAACACAGTTTCCTGACATGCTTCTGGTCTTTTGTCTGGGGTCACTGTTCCGCAGCCAGCCCTGGCAGCTCCAGCAGCCCCTGGCCAGGCTGGGTTGCGTGCCCCGGAGCAGAGTCACCCTGCCACCTAGAGGCTTAATTATACGGTGGCAAATTGCTACGCACAGAAAAAGCCAAAAGGGGTTTTTTTTCACCAGGGCTCCGGCAGTCTTCACCTTCTAGAAAGCATTATGCATGCAAGCACTTTGTGCTTGCCTGCGTGCCAAACATAAGCTAATGTTTGGCTGAGCTGCCTCTTGCAAAGAGGCATCACTGTACCCATGCTGTGCTTCCCCAGGGTCTGCATCAGGGCCCAGTGTTGGAGCCGAAGTGTTGCTCCCTCTGTGCTACCTGAGCTAAGGAGCCTTCCCAAAAACGGGCTTCATCTGCAGGTTCTGTGAACTTGAGACCCCGCCCAGGGCACAAATGCAGCCATATGGGGCTTCCAGACTTGAACTGTCCCTTCAAGGGGCACAGCTCTGTTTTCCAGGCACTGTGCCCCAAGTTCCTGCCGGACTCAAGACTATATCCTTGGCAGGTTTAGCCCAAAGCTGAACAAGTTTTTCAGGTGCAATCAACACAGGAACAAATAACATTCATCACACTTACTTACAATTTCCTCCTAGCATTTGGAATTTTTGTTACCATAACAAAAGCCAAATTTAATCCTTATTCAAAGGAAATTTGTTTGGCAACAATCAGAAAAGCAACCCAAAGCTCTCAAGTAAACATTTGTAATTAACAAAAGAGCCCAGCAAGCTGGCTGTCAAAAACCGAGACAATGTAAATGTCAAAACCATCGTTTAAAGAACACTTCCTGAATTGCAATGACATCTCAGGGAGGAGCCTGAAATATGGTATTGAAAC